ATGATGAATCCTTTCTTCTCATTCATCTCTAGGAAACGCTCCTCATGCAGCTTTGAATTAAAATCTTCGACATGCTTCGAAGGTGAATGGTTGAGCAAGCGCTAGATTCTGCAGGTGCTCGACCAGCTTGAGATACGAATGTTACAAATTCGTGCTGATCTCCTGGGATTACTTCGAGATGTCCATCTCGATTCCACATAAATAATTTTTGATGAGTCGTCGAAGGCACAGCTCCTACTCCATGAATCCACTCTCGCCAAGTAATGCATTGAAATTGGCATGTGATCGAACCACAACAAACACAAGTAGGTCTCGAGTAAGTGCCCACTTTCACGTCTAAGACAATCATACCTTCCGAACTTGACGTCTTTCCGCTGAAATCGGAAATCATAATATTGTGCTTGACTAAGTCTTTTAGTTCAATGCCAAATTTCTTTAGCATAGTAATTGGCAGTATATTCATCTGCTGCTCCACCATCGACAAGGACTCTATTCACCATCCGTCCTTGGATCTCGATGTTCAGTAATAATGGTTTCAAGTGGAACCTCATTTCCTCGGATGGGGGATCGATGAAAACAGCGTCTCTATGAGGAACTTCACATGAGGTTTGTGTGACCCATGTTATTTTTGGCCTTATATTTTCTCGAATAGAAGTCATCTTCTCGCTCGAGCATCTCTTTTTTCTTGGTATTCTTTGTATTCGCTCACATATTCCGCAGGTAAAATTGATATTACCCCGATTTGATGTTCGTCCCAAGTATCATCATTCTTGTCATCGAAAAATTCTCTTGCATAATGACTCTCTATTGGTGCAACATTTTCTTCAAAGTTTCGTAATGATTCCAATAGGGGATCCTTCCTCCTCTTCTCCAGGGCCTCCTCGAATCTCCTTGGGAATGTTGGGAATCCAGTGGTTCGATCCTTCATCGTATGACGACCTCTCGAAAACACCATTATTTTGAAGACTTCCTCTTCCTCCTCGAGGAGGATACATCTCTCTTCTAACCCATTGACTTCGATTTCAGCCGACACCGTAACCAACGGATTTCGCCGACTTTCTTCGATCGTTGGTCGGACCGTTTGATCTACTTTGTCATTTTTTCTTTTACTCTGGTTCTCGATCTTTTTTATCTGTTCAACTCTGAAAGCTTTGGCAGCCGATTTATCGAATACCGCACTGCATCGTGGGCATAACGACACATCTTCATTTTTCTCTTTCTTTCTACTCAAAAATTCAATGAGAGAATCTCCTGATCGAGGGTAAATCTCCTTTTCAAACTCTTTCTCGAATTCGCTTAGGTCAAATTCCATGTCTTCCTCAGATACGTCCATCCTAACATGCTTGGGATTGATGTCTTCAGTAACATCCACCATACCTATAAAGGCTGAATTTGTCAATAGGACATCATCAGCAATGCCCGTTTGGGATTCGAGGTATCCTACTTGAGCCTCAAATGGACTCGTGTCAACTTTCATTGTCATTTCTTCGAACTTCAATCTTCCTTGGTCGATCGCATCTTGGATCGTGTTCCTGAAATGTATACAATTGTTAGTCCAGTGTCCATAAACATTATGAAATTTGCAATATTTTCGATTATTCCTTTGTTCTGCAGACGGTAGTTTATGATCATCACTCAACTTAATCTGTTTGTCTTTCAATAAAATATCAAAGATTTTGTCTGCTTTTGTTACATCAAAAGTATATGTTCGATTTGTCATTTTATCTTTTACTTCATTTTTTTGTAGCAATTTACAAGTATATGGAGCCCCTACTTTGAGTTCTCGCTATGTTTACTTTCTCATCGACAGCTTTCTTCAATATCATTCTCTCGTCATATCATCTGTCTCATATACATCATTTATGTACGCTATTCTTTCCTTTTTTAAAGGTTTTTCATATTTCTTATACATTTGTTTCTCATACTCTATTTGTTCCACTCTTCTCACTTTATCTAGCTAATCGAGCCATGTCATTCAAGTGGTAAATTGACTAATTTTTTCCTGATCGAGAATTCTAAACCTGCAGAAGCCATCCTGACTAATTCGTATTCGGAATTTGAGTCAAACATCTCGACTTCATTTGTCTAAATCGATTTAGATAATCATCTATACTCTCATGGTTGTATCGTTTTATGTTCATCAAATCAATGAGACTTACTTGAGTCTCTCCTCTAAAAAATTGTTCATGAAAATTTCTCTCTAACTGCAACCAATTATATATTGAATTGGGTGGCAACGAAGTGAACCAAGTAAAAGCATTCTTAGTTAAAGAACTAGGAAAATATTTCATCTTTAATTCTTCACTCATCGCTAAATCCCCACATTCGATCTGATATCGAGCTACATGCTCGATGGTTGATTCACCAACTTCTCCAGCAAATTTAGTGAATTTGGGTACTTTATATCCTCGAGGCAATTCTGTCTCGAGAATCGCATTCGGAAAGGGAGACACAAAATATGTCTGATTGGGTGGTCTAAATTCCATCCCTTGTAAATTCATCCTTTGTCCCAACATATTATTCTAATTGTGTATATTTTGAAATCCTTCGTTCAAATTCCCATAAATATCATTCCTCACATGTTGATACTCATTTCCCATACGCTGCTGTTGATCATTGTTTCTATTTCTTCTCAATAGATATGGGGGATTAATATTAGTATTCTGATTAGCATGATTTTCTATCCTCGTTTGTCGAGGCACAACCAATGCATCCCCGATTCGTGACATTTGGTCTGCTAATATCTCAAAGCTAGCAGTAGTGTTTTGCACTAATGGATTTAAGACTGTGGTCAATTGTTGTGATAACATATTCACCATTTCAAAATTACTCTCATCCATTTGTTGTCTAAGTATTCCTAAGGAATTACTAGATATGCCAGTACTAGTATTTTCGATGGTATCAAAATTAGATCGATGATAATCCCTATCGAACGCATATCTCCCATGATCTACGTTTCCTCTATGATCTGGAGGTATTTGCTGCGTTCCTACATTCTGCACACTCCCTGAGTTCTGGGGAATTACTAAATTTTGAGATGTTCCTAGGTTAGGAGATACTCCAAAATTCTGTGGCATACCTAGGGTTTGGAATGTTCCTAAGTTATATCTCGAATTTCGTTGCATAGAAGAAGTACCCACCCCATTCATGTTAGGCGGAAACCCAGGCAGTCTTGCACTCATATATGGCCCAACATTTGTTGTTATAGGGTTTCCCATAGTTTGCATACTATTTAGTGCCACCGTACTAGATCCTACTTGGGTATTTGTTAAAGTGCCTGGATTTTGTTCATTACTCACAGGTATCGACATACTTACAGTTGTCGATACTACAGGTGTATTCCCATTATGACTTTGCCCCCCAGTATTTGATGAGTGTGACCCATTTAATCCCTCAGTGTTACTTGATGAACTCTGACTCATGACTCTCCCACTCCTTAATCTCATACACTCTCGAACTAACCAATTGTGTTTATTCAACACAAACGTTCCCCTACCTGGCGCGCCAATTTGTTTCTGGTTGAATTTCGATCGATTTCGATCCTAAGGGTGTTTTGGTCCTAATCGAAATCCTCCCACGTAAGTTCTTTTTACTTAGGCTAGCAGTCTGACTTTCAATCGAAAACGTGTATGAGGATCGAAAATCACAAAATATCAAGAAAGCTGTTTTTTGGTATTTTGTATTTTAACGTACTGAAAGCAGTAAAGTATCGAATCGAAAAACGGAACATTAAATTGCAAGAAAATATAAAGTGCGAAAACCCCAAATTTGCATTAATTGTAAATGACGAGGAATCGAAAATAGTGCAAATATAAATAGCAGGAAATCGAAATGTGCAGGAAATGTAAATGGCAATAAATCGAAAATGCAGAAACTTAAACTTTCATTAAATTGAAATGACTAAGAATCGAGAGTACAGAAACATAAAATTATTGAATTTAAATTGCATCAAAGTAAATTACCAAGGAAAATACAGAAAGCGGTAAATGTACTCAGTGAGCAAGGAAATCCAGATTGCCAGAAGCTTCATGGTGTTCGTCGTTTCTCCGGTAGACTTTTCACTACTGATTCTGTTCTCTGCCAATTTCCGCTCTCCCCTTATTCCTTCCTCCTTTGCTCTATTTATAGGGCATCCTTCAAGCCTTCCAAGAGCAGTTAACACGACTGCTACCACGTTCTACGTGCGTATGCCAGTTTATCTTCTATAGTTTCCCACGTTCTCACGATCTCCGACTTTTTCCCATGATTTCAAAACTGCTCTTTATACGTGCATTCGACTTACTCCCTTTTATGATTTGGCCAAAGTCTCGATGTCCACATTGACTTTCTTTACTCTCGATTCTGTACTTTTCGAGAATTTCGAATTGCTTACGATTCCTTTTTAACCCTGGTCTTATATGACTTAGTTTTTATTCGACAACAGTCATTTGATTATTATTCATTCGATTCTCAATTGTGTTTCTCGATGCTATATGCTACGTATTTCTAATTAGACGTCGAATGAATTTTGTTTATCTTATCGAGTCACATTTCTTTCCTTCGATTTCGATCGCTTTCCTCGATTTGCCACTAACATACACTTCTTTTTTCTTTTAACTTATTATGCGCTTTTTATAAATATCTTACAAACAAAATTTTTATAACTTTTACATATCATAAATATAACTATGTAAAGATCACAACATCGACTTGAAATTTTTAAAATTATCGAATCAAATTGGACATTTTAATATAAAGTTATTAAATAAAATAAATCGAAAGGGAGAAAGATATTTTAACTTAGAGAACTTTATAATCAGATTCACAATGTTTTAGGGGATTATATAGGGTTTATAGCCATTCAATCCATAGAATCCATTAAATCCGAGAAATTTTCACGACAACCTCAATGGTGGCGAATGGGTCCCCCAGACATGTACCTCGTTCTTTCTCGTGTTCTTTCTCTTGTATAAATTGAAGGACCAGGTTTTCCACTCTACACACACACATGTAAGGGAGCAATGAGCGCAGGCATGGACAAAGAATTCTGCATGATTCCCGTAACTGCGCCCAACTCCACCGACGTATTCATGAATTTTTCCGACACAGTTTTTTGCTTCTGGGAGGATCTGCAGGACTCGTCGGAGAATTCCTCTGACTCCGGCGACCCTCTTGGCGACGACGATGAAAGTCTTTGCTCTGTCGAAAACAATCATAAAGCTTTCTGGGAAGAACAATACCACCTCCTCCAGGTAACAACGCCAATTACTCAAGGGATTTCTCGTAAGGCTGACTCACCATCACAAAGTTTTAAAAAATATTTATATATTACAATTATAATATAAAATTATATTTTTTAATATTATTAAAATATATAAATATATTATAAAATTATAATTTAAATAATAAATAAAAATTTAAAATATATTTATATTTAAAGATATATTTTAAAGAATATATTTATTTAAAAATGTTATATATAAAACAAATATGAGTTGATGGATTGTTAGTTAGCTTGTAACCTAATATTTGATAGGATGAGTATCTATTTTTTATTATAAAGAATTAATTTATCTTATCTATTATTTTTAGAGACTAAACATAAATATATATAACGATTTGACTTTTCTATTTTATTTTAATAAAATAATTCATGAGCAATTAAGAAATATTTAGTGTTATTTTGAATGGTCCATTGATGAGGTTGTGATTAATATTTTTGTATGCTCTACTTTCACGTATTTTGAGGTTATCTTTATCCATTACTCATACTATCATTTCTTACTATATTGTGCAACAATTAACTCATAAGGATTTGATCCATTTAAATTAATTACTTTGTTTGAATCATTTATATCCCAATAATTTAGATAAGTGAAGAAAAATCTTCATCTTACTTACTGATTTTGACCCTCGAATTAGCTAGATCCAAACTAAAAAGTTCTAAAATAGTAGGAGACGAACTAGTGGTTTGAGTGGAATGATAGTTTTCATGCTTCCTAATAATGTATTAGTAAAAACCCTTCACACACAATTTGAGTTTAAGTTTATAACAATTTTTCTTCCATTTTCATAGGAAACTTTATGCAGGAGTAGCTCGATAGAGGCAAGAGTTCGGCAAGCTACAAAGGAAGCTCTGAGAGAGTTGAATAGGAGGGATGTGCAGTGCATTTGCCGGGGAGCAGAGAATGTTAAGAGCTGTCGGAATTGTTTGAGGAGGGAAACATGTGATCAATTGTTGAAACTTGGTTACAATTCTTCCCTTTGCACATCTAAATGGAGGACTTCGTCGGAGATGCAAATATCAGGTATACTGTATATTATCTTCACTACTCTCACTTTTCCAGAAGTTGGTTTTTAACATGTTTCTTAATCTTCTCAGGGGAGCACAGTTATCTGGAAGTGATGGACAACTCAAACATTAAAAGAGGAGAGGTGAGAGTGGTAATTGAATTGAATTTTCGTGCCGAATTTGAGATGGCATGTGCCACTGAAGAATACAATAAATTAATGAACAGGTTACCCGAGGTTTTTGTTGGAAAAACAGAGAGGTTACGAGCCATAATTAATATTATGTGCTCAGCTGCAAAAAAATGCATGAAGGAAAAAAAAATGCACCTGGGACCTTGGAGGAAACAACGGTATATGCAAGCCAAGTGGCTTGGCATCACTGATAGACCCATAGCAGTGCCATTTCTCACTGTTTGCTCTTCACGACCACGGAAATATAAGGCTTCAATGCTCACTTACGATTTAGTAGAAAACATTTCTGGGCTTCACTGTGTTGTGCTTTGCTGAGGTTGTGTGGTTGGAGATGGTGAATAATTTTGCCCCCACTTTAATAACTTTGATGTGGTAGCATTAGGTTTGTTGTGAAGACTAATAAGTTTTAATTTGAGGATAATGAATTTGCAATTGGAAGTATGATGGAAGTTAAAGAAGTTTTTCTGTCTGAGTAAAAAAAAAATTCTGTCAAACTATTTTTGATGATGAAAAGGGCTTATTTGAACAATATTTTATACAAATTTGTTCTTCTCTTCACAGTCAGAAACACCCTATTAAATTAATTTTCATAAAACAAGATAAAATCACATATTTTAATTTTATTAATTCAGCCTATTTTTCCAAAAACAAGTAAATGAATATTAGTAGGAATAATTTATAGAAGATAATAGCACAAGTCACATGTTAGTTGAAACATGGGCCATTTTCAAAAACAATTAGTTTTTATAAATAGAATAATGTTGAATGAACTGTACACTTTTCTATTTATACATTTTATTTATTTGTTTACTAATATATATTATATTATATTTATTTTTGTCATTAATTAAGTTCTTAATTTGAGTGAAAAATCTCTTAACCTCTAAACCAATCCATAGAATGGAATAGTTTAAAAAAAATATTTATATATTAAAATAAAAATAAAAAAATTATAATTAAAAAAATTATATTTTTTATTATTGTATTAAAATATGTAAATATATTATAATATTATAATTTATATTATAAATATTAACTAATTAAATTTAAATTATTGATTATAATTAATTATTTTAACACATAAATATCAATTTTAAAAATAGAAAGTAGAATAATATTTCTATATTTCATTTTAAATCTTATTTTGATTTTATTCTATTGTTTTTTTTAATACTAATATTGACAACAATGTATTAAAGAAACAGTAATCCAATCATGAATAAATTAATCAAACTATGTTAAGTAGGCGTTATTACTTAATCAAATAGTAGGTTCATTGGGGTTTTTCTCGTGGTATAAACAAGAAAATCTTTCTTCCCACTCGACTTCGACCCACACATTCTCAATGTACACAAAGGATTGAAATTCACGAAAAAGACAATGATAACCCTTTCGTCCCAGGAATCATGGAAACATCTCTCCCATAGGGATGACAAAACGGGTAAGGTCCGGCGGGTCGGCGGGCCCACCAGCCGCTTTGGCCCGCTCCGCCAAGCTCGCCAACAACCGTCGGCCAGCCTCGCGGACGGACGGGCCAGCCCGCGACCCGCCTAATTAATAAAAAAATAATTTTTTATTGTAATAAAAAATAATTATAAAGATAATATATAAAGTTAAAAATTTTAAAAAGAGAATTAAAAAAGTTTCACTCTCACATAAAATATTTTCCTTATCGAAACACAACCTTCTCTCTTGTTCTCCTTGTTCATCTTAAACACTCGATTATTTTTATTCTTATGACTTGAATTAAAGGTGTAAGAATTACTCAACCAAGTGAAGTTTTATTAAATAAAAAAGATATAGGTATTTGAATTTTTCAATATAAAAAATATAAATTTTATAAGTTTTAATGTTATATATATATATATATATATATATATTTGTTATTATTTATTATTATGTAAATTTTATTATTGTTCTAAATTATAATTTCTTAAAATAATATATTGATTTATATTATTAAATTGAAATAATATATATGTATATATATTAAATTATTGACAAACAAATAATAATTTTATTATTAAATTTATTAAAAAAAATTATTTTAAAAAATAAATTATTTTTTTTCTAAATTATGGTGGGCCAGCCGCCAACCCGTCCATTGGCGGGCGGGCCAAGGTCTACAGCCAGTCATGACTATATCGGTCAGCCGCCCCACCCCGCTTTTGGCGGGTCAAAGGCGGGGAGGGCCAAAACGGTGCGGGCTGACCTGTTTTGCCATCCCTACTCTCCCACCTAACTGAGAGTCACTCAACATAGAAAAATATGATGATTCGACAGTTCCAGAAGATCACTTAACAATGTACAAGACACGAGTAAATTTGAATGTCAACAACGTGTTAGGATTCAGAGTAACTACATAAGAATTCACAACATAAAATAAAAGATGAGAAAAGAAAAACAAAACTGACAATAAACAATAATAAAATTTTTACTATTGGAAGAAATTACAATACCCTCTTTAAATCTAAGGAGAAACAATAATAACATTCTCTCTTATAAATAAGATAACTCAACTACTATTATGCAATGCACTGATAGAAAGGAGAAGAAATAAATTTCGGGTGATTTACAAGGTAGACATTGTGCTCCTTATAAAAAAAAGAAAAGTAAGTACCAACATATAATTTCTCTGATGTAAAACTTCTCTTATCACATTCTCACATAGCGGAGTCGTACTTTGTCGAGCCTTCCCCATCACGTTCAAAAGATAAACCTTACGATGATACAACATTTTACCCTATAATTCTATTGATTCATATTATACGTTGGTAGAATGATTCCGAACTAGATTTGTAACTAGTAACAAGCACGAAGCCACGTTGGTGGCTTTAGAAAACATGAAGTAGGGTCAGGGCAAGTCCCTTATGGATCAATATGCCCGAGTATCAAACATAATACCAAATCTACATCTTGAGGTGACCCTACATGTGATACTAGTTGTTGTATAACTCGAACCTTTGATGGATAGTTGTTTCGCTTATCCATCAAGGACCCTTGATGAACTAGAGGTTGCTCGAGTCAACTACATCCGTATGAAGGATAACAATGTTATATATAAGAGAACACACATTAGTTCTCAAACACACTTGACTCAACCTTTCAGAAAATCTAGAACAACTAAATACAAACATTATACATTCATGTCTGAAACTGGTCCACGCACCTCCACCACGCACCTCCACCTCTATTAACCCCAATCCACATAAATACAATTAAGTATTACCGATTTTACTAGAACTATAAGCATATTACCGATTAATGCCAAAATGTTAAAGATATAATTGAAGAACTCATCCGATCTTGCTCTCTTACACACTTCATTCGCAATGACTCATAATTAAAACTTATTTAAAAAATTATATCTTACTCAAGTTAAGATGAGTATAAAAATTGTACCTTACTTGAGTCATACGAGTATAAAATTGTTACCCTACTTAAGATCGCACAAATATAAAACTATAATCTTATTTGGGGTCATAAGTATAAAGTTATTACCTTACTCGGAGTCACACGAGTATAAAACTATAATCCTACTCAGAGTCACACAAAAGATAAAACTTACCATACTCGGGGTCATGCAAGTATAAAATTATTATCCTACTGAGGTCGCACTAGTATAAAATTATTATTCTACTCGAGGTCGCACGAGTATACAATTTACCCTACTCAGATTCACACGAATATGAAACTATTATCCTACTCATGCTCATGCAGGTCATATGAATATAAAACTATTATTCTACTCAGGGTTACACGAGTTACATATACCTTACTCAGGTATACGAGTTATCAAAACTTGCATCTATTTTACTCGGGGTCAATAAATTATAAATATCTTACTCAGATATATGAATTATAAAAACTTGTATATATCTTACTTGGTCTCACACTAGTAATGTACTATCGCGAATTATATAAAAAAAATTGATTGATTTTAGAAATGGAATTTAAAGTATGGTCATTGTTCATTGTTCAAATAGAACCCTTCAAACCTTTGACTACATACTGAATAGTGCTGAAAAATATGAAGAAGAGTGTTTTACGTCAAATTTCAAACACTAGATATTTATATTCTGTTTAAATAGTTTTCTAAAAAAAAAAAAAGAAACAAGCATGCATGATACACAGGTGAGAAAATCTTATTAAACTATATATAAGTGGGTAATACACGTGCCACCCGTGGCCAAATAAGTTTGATTCTTTGAATTAGGTACAGAGAATTGGACACTATTATTTTGTTAATAGTTTGATCTTGAATTAGCATTTTCGACGGTTAAACAAAGTCATAATTAACGTATCTTCGTTGAAAGTTCCTTTTAATGGCAGAATCCTACTAAACTTTCTCGCAGAAGAATATTTGGTCAAGTTTTTATCAAATTAGCCGCCAATTCATTGAATTCAATTAATAATAATGTTCTAAATATGTTTCCTTTTTAGTAAATTCAGGGTATTCTTTGAAATATACTCTTCCAACAAATATTTTTATATATAGATAGAACTATATTAATTACATACTTAAAAATAAAAATAATGTATAAGTCTGTATTAGAAATTTAGGTCAAAGATACGTTATATATTGTTGATTTTTAACTCATCCAGACGTCTTACATGATGAATTAGAAGATGAAAATTGAAAATTGAACTTAATCAAACTATTTTAACGACCGAGACATAGATAACCTTAGCGTTAATTAAGTAATTAAGTTTGTGTATGTTCACGAACAACCTTTGAAAATGATGAAAAAAGACACTGTTGATATTGCGGTCCAAATGATAGGTTTCCTTTGTAGGGACGATGGAACGAAATGGCGGTGTACGAGGACCCCAATACCGTAGTTGAAGTTGATCAATGAGAAGCACAACATGGACTTTAGGTGGGAACTCTTGAACATTTTAACTTAGCCGCCAAACGAGTCTCACATCACGCATACAAAACATTATGATGTCTTCCGAGTGATGAGGGTTCTAACAGTTGCATCGTACAGTGACTCACGGTACCTCACTGTGAGTGATGTGTGCTGGTGTCACTAAATCATCTGATAATATAATATCTTTCTCTATAAATACATAACTCATAAACATCTTCTCATAATATTAAATTCCAAATCCTAATAAAGTTCGTCGTGAGCAAATATAAAAGTTTCAACATTGTAGAGATGGATCAACAGGAGCAGCTACAGGGAAGCCAACCTTCTTCAACCAAAGTCGAACGAAAAATTGTAGAGAAAAACAGGCGAAACTACATGAAGAATCTCTGTTCTCAACTCAACTCTCTTCTCCCTAGTTATGATCCCAAGGTCTGTTCTCTCTCTCTCTAGATATACATCTCATGCATGAAGGAAATCATGAGTAGTTTTTTTTTTTTTTTTTTTTAATCATAGTCCATAAAACCTGAAAAATTTGTGTGTTGCAATTACAGTGATGGATTGCATTTTAAAACCATGGATATATATTGGTTTGATGTTGTATTTTTGTTAAGTTAACTCAGAAAGCGTTGGCTGTGCCTGATCAAATAGACGAAGCAATAAAGCACATCCAAACCCTAGACATGAGGTTGAAGATGGCGAAGGAGAAGAAAGAAAGGTTAATGGAAAGGAAGAGAACTTGTAGTGGTTCATCAGGTGCTTTTGAAGCAGGAGGTAGACTAAAACCACCAAAAATGGAAATTCATGAAACGGGTTCTGCGATTGAAATCATTCTAACATGTGGGGTCGATTACCACTTCGTTTTGTGTGAAATTATTCGAATATTGCATGAAGAGAATGTTGAGGTTATCACTGCCAATTCTTCGTTTGTTGGAGATTCAGAGATTCATGTTGTGCATGGGGAGGTTAGTATATATGTCTTAATTATTTAAAAATAAAACAAAAAACTCGATTAGCCCAAAAGCATGAAAAAAATTTATAACCATTTTCTCTCTTTGCTTGTTATATACACTTTATGTAGGTTTGGAAATCTATGTTCCAATCTGGAGCTAGCAGAGTGAGTGAGAAGCTGAAATGGTTCGTAAACGGATCCATCAGCGATGTAGAAATGGAGCCTGAATTGTGGAATTCTGAAATTGCAGCTACACTGCTTCTAGATCCTACCCTAGACAATGGCTTACCACTAAATTAAGTATAATGATCTCTGAGCCTATGACATGTGTAAAACAAATGTGTATTATACATAGTTTATGACCATATTGCATATTTGAATCGTTTTTTTAATATAAATTGATTATGTGTTATTTGTATTCATTAAATTGAAAGTAAATGATAAAAAAAGGATCTCCTCAAAGATTGAAGAAAATTTAAAAGACATAATCTAGTTTTGAGATGCTAGATTAAATAACTTAATAATAAACGGAAATTAAAAGTGGTAAATAATAAACAGAAAATAAATTAATAAATAAAGTAATAAAATATTAAATAATTAAATCTGGCCAAAGGTTCAGTTCAGTCCAACCCTTAAAATAAAGTAGTCAAACCATACCATTATACACGTCTTTCTATAAATGCACATTCACTGAATCATCTTCTCAGAAACCTAACTAGTACGTAAACAAATATAAGGAAATAAAGATTAATAGATCAAGAACAGCCAAAGAGAAACCAACGATCTTCAACCAGATTAGAAAGAAAGATTGTAGAGAAAAACAGGAGAAACATGATGAAGAACCTCTATCCCCAGCTCAACTCTCTTATCCCTACCGATCATCCCAAGGCCTTCTCTCTATCTCTAAGCATAGAAGGAAATCACATGTAATTTGTTTTTCCATTTTTTTCTGAAAATGAATATGTAACCCTAGGATACAAAGTTTCAAACTGATATGCATGACGACAAAATCTTTAAAAGTGTAAAAAATTGCCCACAAATTAACGCGTTCTTTAAGTATAACTACCTGAGATGCAAACCTAAAACATCTTGAAATTGTGTTGCAATTGCAGCTACATATGGATTGCAATTTTAAGCCATTAACATACATAGATATGGTGTAATTGTTTGTTTAATGATTTCAGGCAGCCCTACCACTGCGTGCTCAAATGGGTGAAGCAATGAAGTACATCAAAACCCTAGGGCAAAGGTGAAGATGAGCTTTTTTTACGTTTCTGGGTCAAAAAATATGGTATTTACGTGAAAAGGTCAATTTTGGAGGTACGATTTCACTACAATGAACTCGTGTTTGCTGAGAGAAGTTCAATGATCTAATACTGAAATCATATTAGGTAAGACCTTTTTTTTAGTGGGAGAAGATGGCGCAGGACAAGAAAGAAAGGTAAATGGAGAGGAAGAGAGCTCTTAGTGGCTGCAGCAGGAGTGCGTCTGAAGCACAAGGAAGCTTAAAACCACCAAAAATCGAGATTCATGAAACGGGTTCTGCGCTTGAAATCATTCTGACATGTGGGGTCGATAACAATTTCATTTTCTGTGAAATATTCGAATATTGAATGAGGAGAACGTGGAGGTGGTCAGTGCCAATTCTTCAATGGTTGGAGATTCAATGATGCATGTCATGTACGGGGAGGTCAGTGTATATGAATATTGTTAAAAACTCAATTTGCCAGAAAAATATGAAGAAATTTATAGAGTTTCTTGCTCTCTTTGGTTACTATATAATTTATGTAGGTTGGGCAATCTATGTTTGAATTTGAAGCAAGCAAAGTAAGTGAGAAGCTGAAATGGATTGTGAATAGATCCCTCAGTGACGTGCAAATCGATCCCTGGTAAAATTGATACAAATACTTATATTCTTCCAGGGAGCATTTGATATCAGGATCGATAAACACGAAAGAGGAAGATCGAAGATCGAATGTTTGGTTAAAAAATTGATAAGAGACAGGTAAAAGGCACCTGGTAACCACAAGATAAAAACACGTATAAATCGAGAATCAAAATTGAGAATCGAAGGAAGAATATTCGATGTCTATTGTTGAAGAGAATCGAGAAATTAGAATCTAGTGTAAAGTTAAGATTAAAGGAAATCAAAAGCAATTCAGAATACTCGATGTCTGAAATCGAGATCGAGGGAACGGTTAACACGCACATAGAACATGGGAAGCGGTTTCTAAACCGAGGCAGAGATCGAAGATCAAGGGAGCAGTTCTCTCATGCATGAGAACGTGAAATGCAGTTTCCTTAAACCGTGGAACTAAGGGACGTGCACGTTGGATCGTGGCGACAGTTTTATTAAACTGCTTTTAGGAGGTTACTTGAAGGGTGCTCTATAAATAGAGCGAAGACTTGAGGAAGAAGGGGAAATTGGCAGAGACAACAAAAGCGCAAGTGAACAGTCTACAAGAAAATGACGCATCATGAAGTTTCTAATGCTCTGGATTTCCGTTTTCATTGATTGTCTTTATCGCTTTCTTTACTTTCCCTGGTAATTTACTTTCATTGCAATTTATGTTTATCAGCTTTAAGTTTTTGCCTTTTCAATTCCTTGCCTATTTACTGTTATGCAAAATTCATTTTTATGCAAGTTAAGGTTATGCGTTTAAGATCCTCGTCATTTACATTTCTGCAATTTCGATTTCTTGTTATTTACATTTCCGCAATTTTGATTCCTTGCCATTTACACATAATGCAAATTTGAGGTTTACGTATTTTACATTTCCCTGCAATTTAATATTCTGCACTGCTTTTCGATTCGACGCTTTTACTGCTTTCTTTACTTCGTGTCTCTTAATAAAAAATACCAAAAAATAGTACTTTCGATCATCGATCTGTACTTAAGTCATGCCGTTTGCATTTCTTGAGATTATATGATTCTCGATTCTCATGCATTTTTCGATTGAAAACTAGTTGCTAGCCTAAATGAAAAGAATCTACATGGTTAAGATTTGATTAGAACTTAAGTCTCGATAAATCGAAATCGATCAAATTTTCACCAGAAACAAATTGGCGCGCCAAGTAGGGGGTTGTGTCGAAAAACACAAACAATTAGTTAGTTCGAAAGTGTATGAGATTAAGAAGTGGGCGAGTATTAAGAATGAGTCAAAATCCACCACATAATCAGAATAACAATGAGATTCCAAATAGTTCACATTTACCAAACACTGGGGGGCAAGTTCACAATGGGAATATGCCCGTAATATCGACAAATGTGAGTACGTCGATACCTGTGAGTGCTGAATAAAGCTCAGACACATCGGTAAACACTCAGTTAGGGTCTAGCACTGTAATATCGAACAATATACACACTAAAGGGAATCCCGTAACAACATATGCAGGTCCGCATATGAGTGTAAGACCGCCTGACTTTTCGATTAATAATATGAATGGGGCTGGTACTTCTTCAATACAATGAAGTACGCGATTTAACCTAGGAATGCCCCAAAACTTAGGTACATTTCAAACCTTAGGCATGCCTCAAAATTTTGGAGTATCCCCAAATTTAGGGGTGTCTCAAAATTTAGTAACACCTCAGAATTCAGGGAATGTGCAAAATTTAGGAACACAACATACGCCTCCAGTGTCAAATCTGGAAAACAGAGCAAACCTGGATCATGGGAGATATACATTCGATAGAGATTATCATCGATCCAATTTTGAGACTATCGAAAATGCTAGTACTGGAATTTCCAGTAACTCGTTAGGAGTACTGCGACAACAAATGGACGAAAGCAATTTCGAGATGGTCAACATGTTATCACAACAGTTGACTACAGTATTAAATCCATTAGTGCAAAACACTACCACTAGTTTTGAGATACTAGCAGACCAAATGTCACGTATCGGGGATGCATTGGCGATACCCCGACAAACAAGGGTCGAAAATAATGTCAATCAGAATATTAACCAAAACGTTAATATCAATCCCCTTTATTTATTAAGGAGAAATCGAAACAATGATCAATATCAGCATGTGAGGAATGATACTTATGGAAATTTAAATGAGGGATGTCAGAATATGTATAATCAAAATAACATGCAGTACAATCACCTGATGGGACAAAGAATGAATCCTCAAGGAGTGGAATTAAGACCACCTCATCAACCATACTTTGTTTCTCCTTTTCAAAATACGATTCTCGAGACAGAATTACCTCGAGGATACAAAATACCCAAATTTACCAAATTTGCTGGAGAAATTGGCGAATCCACTATCGAGCATGTGGCTCGATACCAAATCGAATGTGGGGACCTAGTGATGAGCGAGGAATTAAAAATGAAATATTTTCCTAGTTCATTAACAAAGAATGCTTTCACGTGGTTTATGTCGTTGCTACCTAATTCAATATATAATTGGTTGCAACTGGAAAGAAATTTTCATGAGCAATTTTTTAGGGGGAAACTCAAGTAAGTCTTATCGATTTAATGAATATAAAGAGATATAATAATGAAAGCATAGATGATTATTTGAATAGGTTTAGACAAATGAAGTCGAGATGTTTTACTCAAATTCCTGAATTTGAGTTAGTCAGAATGACCTCTGCAGGCTTAGAATTCTCGATTAGAAAAAATTTAGTTAATTTACCATTGAATGATATGGCTCAGTTAGCTGATAAAGTGAGAAGAGTGGAACAGATCGAATACGAGAAACAAAGGTACAAGAAATTTGAGAAACCCATGAAGAAAGATAAGGTAGCATATATAAATGATATATATGAGGAAAATCCCAGGATAGAAGGAGATATTAAAGAATCTGTCGATGAGAAAGTAAATATAGCAGAGCTCAAAGTAGGAGCCCCATATATTTGTAAACTGCTACAGAAAAATGAAGTGAAAGACAAAATGGCAAATCGCATGTATACTTTTGATGTAACAAAGGCAGATAAAATCTTCGCTATTTTATTAAAAGATAAACAGATTAAGCTGAGTGATGATCATAAATTACCTTCTGCAAAACAAAGAAATGATCGAAAATATTGCAAATTTCATAATATCTATGGACATTGGACTAATAATTGTATACATTTCAGGAACACGATCCAAGATGCGATCGACCAAGGAAGACTGAAGTTTGAGGAGATGTCAATGAAAGTGGATACGAGTCCATTCGAAGTTCAAGTAGGGTATGTCGAGTCCCAAACGGGCATGACTGAAGACGTCCGATTGATGAATTCGACCTTTATAGGTATGGTCGATGTTACTGAAGACATTGATCCCAGACATGTCAGAATGGATATGTTAGA